GCTAAAGTGTCACAACAACTTTGGTCATCAGGGAATTGAAAGAAACTTCAGTGTAATCAAAGACCGATGTTACTGGCATGGAATGTTCAACGATATTAAAGAATATTGCAAGAATTGTGAATGTTGTTGTGTAGCCAAATCCGAAACCTACAGATTAAACCAGCGATGAATCATCTACTAGCCAATCGACCTCTGCAGATTCTAACCATAGATTTGGAACCATCGAAAGGTAAAGAAAATGTGTTGGTAATGACGGACGTTTTTATCAAATTTATACAGGAGTAGCGAATCACGATCAGAAAGCCTCTACTGTTGCTTTGTGTTTAATACTACAGTGGTTTCATCTTTATGGCTTACAGGAGAGAATTCACAGCGATCAGGGTAGAAACTTTGAATCGGATATTATAAACAACTTTTTAAAATGTACGACATACAGAATTCAAGATTCACACCCTATCACCCGGAATTTAAGGCAACGGGAAGACAGAACGTTTCAATCGCACGCTTCATGATTTACTTGGAACCTTGCCTACACAGAAAAAGAAATTCTGGCCAGACCATTTATCTGATGTTACTTTCGCATATAATGTATCTCTAAATTCCAGTACTGGTTACAGTCCTTTCTATTATTTTTTTTGGATGTAAACCTAAACTTCCAGTAGATTTTATTGTGTCACCAATTGTGTCCAATTCTACTCCGATTAGTGTTGAAAATTATGATGATTCATAAAAGAACACAAAAGGTGTTAGTGAAATATTCCAACACGCAAGAAATAATTTACAACGAAACGCATCGAAGAGGAAGGACAGCTTTGACAACAAAAATCGCAGATCTTCCGATCAGGATGGGAGATGAAGTTTGTATACGAAACAGAGGTTTCACTGGAAGACACATGGACCTTTGGAGTTCAAGAAGACATCGCGTCCAGACAATCAAAGACAGTGTGTACACAGTCGTTTCCAGTGACGGACATCAAAGAACTCTTCATAGACGGGATATTAAACGCATACCTCCAAATTCAAGCGGTGATGCGCGTGACAATTAAAAAAACAGTGACTTCCGTTTACCAATACCTTTACGTCGTAGTTTGCGTGTGCGCGGAAAGCAGGGCAGTAAGTGGGTTTAATTTTCAAAAGAAAACTGACACGAAGAATTATAGACTGTATGAATTTGTAAAATAAAACTTGATGATATTATTTATATTGTATTTTTGTCTGTGTTAATTTATTATAATTTGGTTTTATCGGGACGATAAAATTCAAAGCAGGGAAAAATGTGGACAGATTTATATATATTAAATATATTTATTGCAATTTCGCATTTTAAATAAATGTTTCTATTTCAAATAAATTAACGATGTCATTGAGAATAGAAGTTAAGCTAGTTTTATGGCGCAGGTGGATTGAGTTGGTGAACACTTTCTTTGCTTTACTATTGGCTATGACTTCTCATCGGCTATTGTCATAATGAACTATCAAATCAGATCGTTTCTTTTGTAAGAAAAGAGAGCCAAATCTCAATTTTAAATTACTAACTATTTTATTATATGTTAATAATATTACAATTTTTCTTAGTAAATAAAGAACTAGGTTAACTAATAACTAAGATTATAATAAAGTTGAATGTGTATTTATTTGTCATATGTAATGCATTACTATGTATACTTTGAATATATTTACATGTACTTATATTTCTTTGTAGAATCACCTTTTTGATGTCAATAAACACTTGGAACGTAATCTACGTATTTATATCACTTGGTCACATTAAACTAAATTCTTTACATGTCCTATCAACTGATTTTAATGGATGTTGTATGTCTTCGAGAATGATTTTTTTCTTTTGATATTATATTACCTCTGATTTGCAGTAATCAAACAAAATTTTACTGTTTGGTATTTTGTGAAGTAAAATAAAATCAAATAAGCATGAAATGGATAGTTTTTCCCCTTTGACTCTTTCGTTTTCTGTTTCCTTAATTTGTGCACGTATTTTTTGTAGTTTCTCACTTCCGCTGTAAGAGGATACCAAAAAAGTATGTACTTTTCTATTTTATCAAGTTAAGTCATTTCATTTGTTCTCGATAAGTAAAGCTTAATTTTATTACATAGTCAACGATCCTTTATTTCTTACAGATTGGTAGGAATGTGCATTGAAAAAAAAATTACATAAAATATTCTGCATAAAAATAACTAGCCTTCACCCCTCCCCCAAAAATTGTCCTATTAGCTAGTAGATCATGGACTTTTACTTGAACCTCGGACGTTTTTTCCTAGGGCTCTCCTCCATAGAAGTGTTCCCTGGTGAGCAAGAGTTTTAAGATCCATGAAAATAATGAAAGAGACAAAAGCGCAAAGGATGCTGGCGCCTACGATTCCAATTCCCTTCGCAGAGGTACGGTCATCATCTACGCTTGTTTTCCTCCGACGGTAGGAGGAGAGATCGTTCCTGTTGATGGATAGTTCTTTCTTGATTTCTTTGATTTTCTCCTGAAGCTGTTCCTCTGTCTGTATATTTGTGTTTGCTTCTGGGTCCGTTTGACATTTGCATTGTGGCATAGTCGATACTGTTGTAATCTTAGGTTGTTTACTTGATTCATCAAAGGCATTCTCTGCAAATTAATTTAAACAAAACCATGTAACCACAATTTTGCAATATGATGATTAAGATTTTCATGATTAGCAATATTGCTGTGATTAAGACTAAGTTGTGTTTTAAAACAGAATACGATTTAGATAATACATATGTTTGATACTAGAATAGTCCATAGTTATGGACATGTCGTCTGATGAGGTCTGTTCTACAAAGATGGGAACTTCCTCCAAAGTCGAACTTTGTCTATTAAGTTTCGAAACATGAGTATCAACATTCTTGCTTCTACATGGATCCCCAGAATAGTTATGTGTTTGGATCTATAACCAAAAAAAAAAAAAATAAATAAATAAAATAAAATAAAATAAAAAATAAATAAATAAATAGCAAAAAATTATAAGAAAACCTGTAAACGTTCCCAAAGCCTGTATTATATTATACTTGTATAAACATATGTAAAATATATATTTTACCCTCCTTGGTATAAACTGGTAGCCAACCATACTGAGCGAAGCATCGTTCAAGTGAATATTTGTCCGATATATGTACACTCCAAAAGAATTTTCATTTCCACATCCTTGGCAGCCATTTTGTGTCAGTTTTATTGATGTTCCAATGTCGTCGTACTCCCTTGCAAACCATCGGCTTGTGGTAGTCTTATAAAAAACTTGGTCTCCTGAAAGCTTCGTAAAAGTATAGTTGAAACTTACTTCATAGATGAAACCGAGTACCATATTTGGGTATTTTTTCTTTCGCCTAGAAATGATTACAGAGGATAAATACTGATCTATTGCTGGCAACAGTAAGAGTCCTTCCTGACTATTGTTCGGGTATTTGGTGTTTGGTTCAGAACTACTAGAAAATGTCTGCATAATTGCAATAGGTTTGTCAGAATGGATTTTCTTATAAGGATTAATCGCAAATTGGTTATGGGGGATTTCTCGGAATTCTCCGGCGTCTTGATTATGCTTTCCGTAAACCGTTTCAATCGTCGTACAGTTATAATGAGATATAAACCTTAGTTTAGAAGGTGTCAGACCAACAGTGGAGTACGTAAATGGGTAAAAAGAAAAACCGAAATATTCAACAGGGGGAACTTGTTCCATCGACATGGTCGAGTCTAGAATCATACCTCCACAAAACACAACGACTGACTGATTGGCGCGCAATAAAAGTCCAGTAAAATCATCCAGACTTTCCAAAGACACATGGCTGAAGTTATCCTTGATCCTGAAACTGGTAAGACTGTGTGGCAGTGACAGGTAGTCCACAGTGTCTTCGCCAACTGCGTGTTTTGAAGTGTACACTGAGATATTGCCATGATTTTCATTCTCTAATATAATGGAAGTGTTATTCGATAATGTTACGATGGAACACACACAAAGACCATTTGCTGTTTTATTACAGAAAGGCATCATTCTATATTCCACACCAGCGACATCTTGCGGAAACACCAGGTAAGATGCTGCTGACGTTGGTCCATCGACAAATGCTGTGATGCTTACAGCATCCGATGCTTTAATTCTGAGAACTGGAAACATCATGCTGATCTTTCCAAAATTTTCCAAACTGAATTGCTCCACAATTTTATGACTGATTTGGAAAGAGGACGTTAGTACTGGATCTTTCCGGTAAAAAACAGTCGCTGTTACATTAACCTTTCCCACAGATGCCAGCAAGAGGTAAGCATCAAATTTCCTCAAATCAAGATTACGAAAAAAGGCCACCACAAAATCTCTTCCAGTATGGTTTCGTGACTGAGCTACACAAATGAAAAGATTTATTATATCAAGATATTATTATATTGGGTATCTGATTTGTATATTTGTACATTTTCATTCACAATTTCGAAATGCAGCCTAGTATATTGTTAATATCATATGTGTAATTATAGGACTGGAAAAAAGACAATTCTATTAAAAAAAAAACAATGAAATGGATCAATCAAAAAGTTCTGTAAATGTTATTTAAACAAAAATTCAAATCATATTCCATGTTACTATAAATATGCCTTTGAATTCATACCTGTCGTCGTAGAAAATAGACACAAAAGCACTAGTAACGTACGAAAATACTCCATGGTTGAATAATGTAGCTGAGATTTCTGAGCCCAAAATCACTGGCTTGAACCTCTACTATGTTTGCTTTTGTGAAATTAATCTTCTGCTTGATAAACATTTCGTGAAAATTGCTATTAATGATAGACTGACTTCTGCTTGTGTCTTTTTATTATTAATGAAAGCAATTGCTCATAATAAACATTCCTTTGATGAGTGATATCAATCAAATGAGAAAAAATATCTTTTTCAGAACTTCCTATTTCATATTGTTAAACTATATCTCTGAAAGTGTTCAAAACTCTAAATTCAGCATAAATTATTGATTCTATAACTGAGCAGAAGTTCGGTTTTATAATTTCCTTATATTACATTATTTGGATTAACTTAGTACTAAGCGTTAAGAGTAATGAGTGGTGTTTTTTTTTTTAGTTTCATGTTTAAGTATATATCACGGTCTTCCTCTACGCATGCGCAGTCGTTCACGGACAAAGCAAGGATTCGGACCAAAAAGTTTCCTCCACAAAGCGGATCCCTGGTGTGCAAGTGTTTTAAAATCCATAATGAAAATGAAGGAGACGAAGGCGCAAAGGATGCATGCTCCAAGTAATCCAATGCCTTTTGCAGATGATCGGGTATCATCTGCGCTGATTTTCTTCCGTCTGTAAGAGGAGAGATCATGTTTGTTTATTGTGAGAGTTTTTTTAATCTCTTTGATTTTCTCCTCGATTTCTTCCTCTGTCTGTATGGTGGCATCGGTTTTAGGCTTCGACTGACATGGTGGACATGTGTTTTGAAAAACATTGGGTTCAATCGATATTGCTGTTCCTCTCCTTATTTTGTTAGAGGAAATTTCTATAAATATATTTTAATAGACTTTAATTTTATGCAATAGTTTCGTATGGCCTATTATAACTTGATCAATAACATTTGTACAGACCCGCACTTCCCCTGGTGCTTGTTTCTTTGTTATTATCCTCTATGATGTATTTCTCGGTATTGGTTTGACGAATCTCTGTAGAACTCGGTGTATCTGTTGTAGGCATTGTATTTTTAGTGTCAATTGGAACATTTTCCTCTTCTTGTGTATTAATACAGGTTTCACCAAAATATCGACGGTTTTCATTCTACAACAAAGAAATCTTTTCAATGTAGAAAATATAAAAAGAAGCAGCAGAAAATCTTAGATAAATTTATTGCATTTTTGTGAATGTATATCTTACTTTTCTTTTGAAAAACTTAAAACCAACGATGCTGAATGACGCGTCGTTTCCGGCTCGCCGATACGTGTACGCACCAAAAGTATTTCCATTGCTACATCCATTCTGTGCGAGTTTTAACAACCTCCCGTCGTCGTCAGACTCCCAAACAATGTCCCTACTGATTGTCTTTCTTGACGTGTTTCCTATTTGTGTCTGAAAATTATAACTAACATCAGACACAAGCCCTACAAGCATTTTCATTCTGCTAGTCGCAGATTTGTCCTTTTTCTTACGTCGAGGAATAACCACAGCTGACACATATTGTTCCATTGCGGGTAGCAGCAACAAACCTTCTTCATAATTGTTCTGATCCTTTCGACTTGGAGAAGGTCCAGAAAAGATTTGAATTAATGCTACTGGTTTATTAGCGAAAAACTTGAATGGAGCAGATTTGTTTATTGAAAGTTCCAAAGTTTCCCCTGCGTGTCGTTTCCAACTATCTTGATGATCAAGTGAAATTGTGGTGCAGTTATAGTGTGCTATGAACCTGAGTTTTGGTGTTGCCACAGCATTGTGATCAAAAGGAAATGCATAATAGTTCTGACCAAAGTATTCGATAGGAAGTATTTGTTCCATTGACATCGTAGCATCTTGTTTTCTTCCACCACAGAACACAACCACTGGACAGTTGGCTTGCAATAAGAGCCCAGTAAAATCATCATGGCTTTCTAACGAAATATAACTGTGTTTTTTCCTGTTCATGAAGTTAATTTTACTGTGTGGCATCGACAGATAGTCAATTGTTTCTTCACCTACCGCGTGTTTTTGTGTGTACACAGATATGTTGCCGTTATTTTCATTTTCAAGCATAATTGTGGTATTCTCCTTCAATGTTATAATGACACAGATGCATAAACCATCTATCGTCTTATTGCAGAAAGGCATCATTCTGTATACCTCACCAGCGACATTTTCTGGATACACAAGATAGGAAGCAGCTGACATTGGACCTTCCACGATAGCTGTGACTGTCACCGGATGTGAAGCATTAATCCGTAGAACCGGAAACGCCATCTTAATACTCTGGTTTGGCCCATACTGTTCCTGCAAAGTTAACTGTTCTACCTTTCCTGGGGTAAGCTGGAGATTGGACGGCCGTAGCAGAGAGTGGTGGTCGTACTTTACAATAGCCGTGGTGTTCTCGGCATTTACAGATGCCATTAAGATGTAGGCGTCGAATTTGTTCAGGTCAAGGTCTTTGAAGAACGCTACCACAAATTCTTTTCCAGTGCTATCAAATGTTTGGTCTGTATAGATAATAAGCAAAAATTTACAAATTCATTGTGTAAATTTACATTACACATCTTATTTATACCTATTGGTTTAGGGGTAAGTCAGTTGATCGTATATCTGACATTAAAACAGGTGTGTTTCCATCAAACTATGCGCATTTTTCTTATATACATAAATGATACAATATGTGAGAACTTTTCAATAAATTTACCATACCTGCAATGGCAGTGACAAAACAGACTGCTGTTTGCAACAGACACAGATATTCCATATTGTATGACAGATTAAAACAGACGCGTGGCCTTTATAAGGTGTCTCTTTGCCTTCAAGACAAGATAAATGTATTTAATTTGAAAACATTTTTCCTGAGATTTAATCTGTTGATTAAACATTTGGTGAAAAAAAAGTTGTAGCCTGTGATTGGGATTTTTTGTTGTTGTATCTGTTTATCGAAATTGAGAACCCAGGGGCAATATAATTATATATGGAAAATTATATAAGGTGGTATATCTATAGGGAACGTTTATTGAAACTCTCATTTTCACCATATATTTATGTATAGATGTACAACACGAATTACACGAGTTCTTTTCAGATGCAAATAGAATTTTCAATGATTAAATGGACCTTTCCTCTCAAAGAAATTGCTGAAATAGAAGTATTTCTTTTTGATAAATAAGAACAAAACTAAAGGAACAGGCGAAAAAAAAGAACACATCGTCGTTTGGTGTATTTTATAATGATGTCTATCTCTACTCCTGTTCATACATGTTGTGACATGTTCATAATTTTTGTTAATTTTTCCCACTGATTATTTTCAATGGGACGATTGATATTGTAAATTTAAACAATTATTGTATATGTTTTCCGCAAAAGCATATGTGAAAACTTAAATCTATTCAGTCATCTTGACCAACTGATGAAAAAGATAGGGAAGGCCCCTTCCTCAACAAATTCGTCCACTGACATTTGACCATCTTGAATAATATAGTGTATATATGTAAAATATCTAGGCTTAAAATATTTCAAAAAGAATAGATTTACTTAAAACAATATTTTGGGGGTTCTATGCGATTTGTTGCCTGTTTCATATTTAATTATAAAAATAATCAGTCGTGTAAAGTCTCTAGAGTTAAACACATGCCTCGGGCATTGTCTGATAATTGGATTGCAACGAAATTACATTATAATATTCAAGCCTGAGTTACTTTGCATCGAGCAAACAGTAATGGATCAATAGTTGTTTTCCAGCAATTATACAAATAGGACATTATCATTGACGTACGAATTTGTCTTTAAATAAATACCTGCTACATGTAATGTATAATGGTTATGTCAGTTTATGAAATTTTAGTTTACAGATTTAACACAGTTTGTGTTGTAGTTCACAAGCATCTATTTAGATAATAGGGTGGAAATGCCGATCAGGTACCCTCTTTTAATAATATCATTAACTTCTACTTATCCTTCGTCTTATTTTCCAAAATATAAATAGGTACATTCCTTTTTAATCGTATAATATGATGAGAATAAAACCTTTCTTGCTTTATCTTTCCTTTTTTTTGATATATGTCAACTGAGAGGAACGAATCCCTTTCAGTTTGCAAATGATGATGAATGAATCTATTTCAAAGGAATTTTCATTATTTTGTGAATATCATTCTACTTCGACAGAGATTAACTAGGATCTAGTCAAAATCTGGTGAAAGCCAAGTGCAAATCACAGTAAATACAATAGTTGACGACTTCTTACATAATTTTTTTTCAGACTCCGTTCTTCATGTTTTCTTATAATTTGCTATGATCACATTCTTTACTGTTCAGAAATAAATATATAAATGTATCATCTCTCTCTCTCTTTTTCCTCTCTCTCTCTCTATATATATATACTATAAGATATCTAATGGACCAGGATTGGAAATGTTAAGTTGGATGTTTGACAGCGTAAGATTAATAAAAAGATTAAAAACTAATGTTTTGACTAATGAGTATTCGATTGCTCTAGATAAGAAATGCCATAAATACATTTGAAAAAAAAAGTGTATACAAATTGGATTCATTCATTTCTATTTTCAAAGTATCATTTTCTTCAACTTGATCAAGAACAGGTCATAAAAACAAAGTTTTTATGAAAGTTTTTTAAAGTGTTAGGGTATTTTTTCAGAAACAATATTGTGTATGTTATTTTGTTTTGTCTTGGTGTAAAGTTATGTAGACTCTATAATGTGTATATACAATTCTATTTAGATATTCCCAACGTAAGAAAAACCTTCGTTCTAAGTTAAAGATTGAGACATTTTATGTTAACAAAAATGAGCGTTAAAGTAAAACTTTCAGAACTTATAATTTTAAACTGCATATAACTGCATGAAAATGTTTTGCTCTGATGATCTGAACAAACGATATATATTTATTATATATATATATATTTATACAGTTTTCTACAGAGTAAAATCAATTTATGGTTCTCCTCGCAGACACCCACGCATGTTCCTCCATAAGACAATTGTCTGATGGGCCAGGGTGGGGAAGTCCATTATCACAATGAGGGATACGATCGAACAGAGGATACTGGCACCTACGATTCCAATACCCTTAGCAGAGATCCGTTCATCACCGGCACTTGTTTTGCTCCGACGATAGGACGAGAGATCGTTTTTCTTGATCTTGAGGTCTCTCTTGATTTCCAAGATTTTCTCCTGAAGTTCTTCCTCTGTCGTTTGGGGGTAAGTGGGAGTTGGCTTTGGATGACATGGACATCTAGAGCACTGTGATATCGTTGGCTCTGATGAAACCGTTGTTTGTTTACTCTCTATATCGGTGACATCTAAAAAAGAAAATATTACATGCATGTTCATAGTTTAACTTGCATTGATAACTACATTATATATATATATATATATATATATATATATATATATATATATATATATATATATATATATATATATATATATATATATATATATAATTTCAGTATCTCGAATACAAGTAACCGTGAAAAGACTTCCAAGTAGTTTTTATGTCGTTTGAATGTTCCTACCAGAAATTTCGGTCCATGTTGATGTGGTTTCAGCAGTAGATGATTGGGTAGACTCTGTGGAGCTCAGAGTCATATTAATGGTTAGGTGTTGTGCCCGTGTTTCAGATGTATCTTGAGTAGAAGTATCCTCTTGTTTATTTCCACAAGGTTTTGTAAGGTGTTGAAGATTTTCAATCTGCAATTAGACTAATATCCAGTAATTTTATCTTTTAATTCGAGGCCAATACTAAAATAATGTTTATTTGCCCCCTCCCGACTCAGGGCTCGGTAGGTAGGTGGAATTTTTTTTTCTCAGAAAATTTCAACATCAATGCTTAATTTTCATAATTTATTTTCCAGAATGCATTAAAATATGTTTCCTGGGGGATAAAAAAGTTTTGAGTCCGGCCATTTTTAGCCAGTCGGTCGGGAGAGGACAACCAAACATTTTTTTAAAGACGGTCCTAACATTAAAGAAATGATTTAAAATAAATTTAGCAGTTTACCTCTCTAGAAATAAAATTATATCCAATTGTACTAAATGAAGCCTCGTTGCCATGAATATTTGTTCGAAATGCGTACCCTCCAAAACCCCCTTTACAAATTTTACAGTTGTAATCCCGTGTTAGATTAACAGCCACACCACTGTCGTCATATTCCACGATAATTCCACTACTCAAAGTTTTCTTAAGGATACTCTTGTCTCCAGAAAAAGACTGAAGAGTGTAGCATACGTCAGTGATCAGTCCCACGAACATCTTCATAATCTTTGCCCTGTTCTTTCTGTTTCGTCGAGGAATAATCACAGTCGACACATACTGGTCAATGGCAGGCAACAATAACAGGCCTTCGTGATAACTGAGGTACCTACTGTTGGGTACATAACCAGAGAAGATCTGCATAATTGCAATGGGTTTGTCGGAGGAAATATGGCTGGTAACGACCTTTTTAGTAGAAATCTCCTGAATTTCGCCGGCATCTAGCCAGTAATGGCCCTGTACCGTTGTAATATTAGTGCAGTTGTGATGGGAGACAAATCGGAGTTTTGAGGGAGACATGGAGTTATAGGCAATAGGGAATGTATAGAAATGTTTACCGTAGTAATCAACGGGTGGTATCTGTTCCATGGACATGGTAGCATCCTGTTTTCTTCCACCGCAGAACACAACTACAGAACTGTTGGCTCGCAACAAAAGCCCTGTGAAATCGTCTTGGCTCTCCAATGACACGTGACTGTAAATTTCTTTAACGAGAAAACGAGTTCTAGTGTTTGGTAGGGACAAGTGGTCAATTGTGTTCTTTCCCACAGCGTGTTCGGGGGTAAAGACCGATATGTTGCCATGGTTTTTATTCTCTAAAATTACCATGGTATTCTTTTTTAAGCTTACGATCGAACAAACACAAATACTATTTTCTGAATTTTGGCAGAAAGGCATCATTCTGTACTCTTCACCAGCAACATCTAGCGGAAAGACAAGATATGACGCAGCTGACGATGGACCATCGGAGAAAGCTGTGATGCTAACCGGATGTGACGCCACTATTCTGAGAACAGGAAACAGCATGTTAGTTTCCCCATTATGTTCTTTCAAAGTGATTTGCTTCACAACCCCTGGACTAAGTTGGAGAGGAGAGCCAAATTTATTAATTTCTTGCTCGTAAATGACGTTTACTGTCACATTTACGTCAAGCACGCCAGCAACAATGAGGTAAGCGTCAAATTTGGACAAATCTAGATTCCTGAAGAATGCTGCTACAAACTGTTCTCCAGTGTTGTCAATGGTAGTGGCTAAAACGAAATAGAAACTCGTCATGCTATAGATTTTTTTAAATAATTTTCAGAGAAAGGGTGAATTTTTTATGTGATTGAACGTTCACAATTACGGTTTTAAATCTTTCTAAAAACAAATATATGTTATTCATAGTTTTACAATGTCTAAAATAAGAATGTATTTATAAATATCAAGGAAATGTAAATGAAATCATAAAACGTTAACATTATCTTTTTAACAGTTACTCGTATAATGGTATTATGTTGTTATTGATAAAGAAGATTAAATTACGGCCAAATGTATATTGTTTCATCAATTAATTATATCGAATTTTTTCAATTAATTTTGGCGATTCCAAATATTATCTAAATACAGTATCCTTGGTCAAGTCAATAAAAATGTATAAGTAATAAAATGTCATCAAACCAATTATAATCTTCAAGTATTGAAATTTGTAATATCTCCTTCTAAGAATAGTAAGACTTAGGTTATTGTTTTTTAAATAGCATGACATACATATATTTGCAGATAAGTAATGTAAATCTTTTGAATTCAAATCAATTGTATTAAGCAGAGATATAAATATTTGAAATTATTTGTCTTTGGATTAGGGTAGTCCAATTTTCGGGTTCTGAAAATCAGCGGTTAATTAATTGAACATGCTCACGTAACTGTCACTGAAATCACAAAGTTATGACTATTTACCTATGTTATTTCTTTTAAGTTCATGTTTTTTTTTTAATGATCTCATACCTGTAATAGCAGTAATACAGCATAAAGTCACTTGGAAGAATACAAGATAGTCCATGTTGAATCAAATGTCCATGCGGATTCCAGTTGTTTCTCCACAGAAGTACTCATCTCAGCCGTCAAGGTATCTCATTAACTTATGTTTGTTCGTATAAAATTAATCAACAGGATAAACGTTTTATGTAAATGAATTACTAATTGAATACCTCCATGTTGTACTGTCGGTAAAGATTTGAAAATTACATTTTTATCTTACCACAGAAAGAGAAAGTCTCTATGAAAGTTAAAGCGTATGACAAGTTGTTTAAGTATTTTTCTGTATATTTTCATGTATAAAATAAGGATGACTTTATAGGAAATAATTATGTTTTAGCATCGATTAAACATCTTCGAACTGTTTAACAAACTTCTAACATGTATTGTTTTTAATACAATATGTCTTTCACAATTAGAAAGCTTAAAGTGCAATCCATTCATTTATGTAAATATCACAAGCCTTTAGAACGCTCAAATTATACGACGGTGTGGAAAACTTTTTTTTAAAAAGTACTGACTTTTTTATACCCCCCTCCCCCAATTTGTCAGTCGGATAAACACGATCTAAAGGTCTGTTGTAAATATTGAATAAAGAAGCATTTCTAACAGTATTGAATATTTTTCCGAATATAAACTACTGTTAATGATATCATGACTGTACAAATGACTTGAACAACAAAATTGATATATTCTTTCATATTTTTTTACTCTTATTTTATTCATCTGCAATTACGATTTTCTATTAGCTTTCGATATTTTTTTTTTTCGTAATTCATGTATTCTTCAAATATTTACAGCTGAGAATAAGTTATCTGCGTCAAAATTCCCAGAGGAACATAATATTAGATTTTTTTTTTCCTCTCATGTTATCTAAACCAACAGTTTATATGACAATGATTGGGATATTGTTTTTTCTTTGGGTTGTCGTCCTTTCTGTATGTCACTTGTGTAACACGCATTTAACAAAAATTATGATTTTTTTTTTTTTGGCCAAAAGAATTCGAAAGTCCAAACGTAACACCTTAAATTATAATGAAACCGGGAATTTCATTTTAAATTCTGTAAAGGTGACCTGACCATGCTTACACATGTACATAATACTACACATGTACATAATACTTCAATATTTTACTGCTTTTGAAAGGCAGTTTTCTAAAAGTAAACATGGAAAACACCTATAAATAATGATTAAAATATACTGTATGATAATGAAAACATCAGGAGAAATTTCGATTATTTTTGGACTTTTGATTTCTCAAACTTTGCAATCACTTTTTTCTGGTACACTTAACACATCTAGAGTTACCTGGGCATCAGTAAACGCCTACTAAACGGTGAAGTATCTAAAACTTTTGTATTCAAATACTGAAATATTGAATTCAGATTTATTTCCCGTAATGAGAATTAAGAAATTTGAGATCTAGATCCTGTTCTTGCTCTAGAAAAATATTAAAATTGTTGTGTAAATTTAAATCGGAAAGCTTCTATTGACTCGGCGTGTCCATTCCTGCTTCCTACAATCCTTACCCTTCCTTTTTCTTTCGCTTTTCTTCCTTTTCCCATTTTTTTGCAATCACTTTTTAAAATTCATTATTATTGCATACTTGTCTATATAAATGAAGGAGCAATCGCATTTAAAATTGGTGTAGGGTAGAAAAGACTTCTCCACCATGAGCGAAGAACCGTTGGCGGATGCTTAAATACGAATTACGAGTATACTTTCTTACAGTCAGTAATTAGTTTTATTCACCAGAAAAATATCAATATTGACCTCGGCTCCGCCTCGTGTATAATGTCGAAATATTGTAACAACATAAAAGAAAGAGAATCCAGGGCCGTCGAAATGTTTTCTGGAAAAGGGGGAGGGGGTGCGGAAGAGGGTCTGCAAGGGTTCTCCCTTCCCTAAGCCAGAAATTTTGTTATAAATTGGTACCATTTTTGTGGGTTATTTTGCCTTTTTGAAGCCATTCTTTCAAATATTAAAGAAATATTATCAAGCAGCAATACTTCAAATAAATAAATTTAAAAAAAAAGGTGTTTATACAAGTGGATGCGATCTCACCTAAAGCACCCCCTTAGAGACTGCTTTGAAATTATTTGTCAAATATTCAACAGTAAAGTAAGTGTAATTTGTCCGTTGAAAAAAAAATGATATTAATAACCGGAACATGACTACACAGTATCACATGGCAGCGGGGAAAGAAAGAAAATGAAAAAAAAAACTCAATGTTTTATAGTTGGCTATATACTCCTAAGAGAGGATTTGTTTTATATTTTCACGAGTGCGAAACGTAGGGAAAAAAATCCTGTCCCATTCAAGAAATGAATTACATGTACATATCCAACTTTTAATTAAGAACATTAATTGAATATCCTCTATGCTCTCTGTTGGGAATATTGCTTCATACGTAAACGTTACACAAATATCAACATTTTTTTTTCTATTTATGGAACATTAAACAATAGTAGTATATAAAAGTGAAGACCGTTAACAAATCAACAACTGATCAACAAGGTAGGAAGGTTACCAAATTAATTATATACTTTCGCGATCGATTTGGCAACTTGACTGTGACATATATTTAAACATGTAAAAAAAAATACATCATTACAAATAAACAGTACATATGGATTTTATAAATGAATTTTGAATTCATAGGAAATTAATTTTAAATAATAACGAAAAGGCTTTATACATGTATACATTCAATTAAACAATTAATATCTTTTTCACTTTCTTGAATTTTTTAAAAATATTTTGTCGTTTTCACCTTATTGACATATAAATTCAAGTTTTCAGGGGTTACACGAATATAAATGTGGGATATACATGTAAATTTGGGATATTAAAAAGTTTACTAAACTATATACAACGAAACAAAATATTAAAAAAACAAAACAAATTATAATAAAATATACGTCATGTGACGAAGTAGGTTATATCTGTAACACATGAAATATTGCCATTTCTCTACAATGCCATTCATTTAAAGCTAACAAAATCAACAAAAATGACATTGTAATATACATTTCTATATTTGGAAGATCTAATAATCTGTATACAATTATATCAGTAATACAAAAAAAAAAAAAAAAAAAAAAAGAAAGAAAAAAAGAAAAAAAAAAGAAAAAAACACTTTATGAAAAACATATGCCCTCGCAAAAGATAAATTATTTTGCTGTCTTCCTGAAACGCCTAGAAAAAAATCAGAAAAAGTTGTAGTCTGAACAGTAAGAAGATTGTTTATATTAATATTTACCCTTTTTTGTCCTCACATTCAAGTTTAAGTCAAATATAAAAGCTTAATATTTATATCTATTTCACAATGTCCAGCTACAAATTTGACCCTAAAAAATAATAGGAAATATTGAATGAAACAAGATTACTAGAATTTCTCGAGACGTATACATTTACTATTTTTGTCCCAGAAATCAAGAGTGATAAGAAATTCTTCATGTTTGAGTTTGGGCTTTATTTAATACCAAAGCCTCGCTGCAAATACTGAAGAAATTTGTCATGAAATGTAGTAATCTTGCTATCTAAATCTTCAGATTTGTTGTTTTTGCTCATAAATCAAGAATTTAATCAAAAATGTACATTTGGCACTATCCTTCAATTTCTATTTCATAAGTCCTCCCTATATACTTAATAGAAAGCTTACCAGAACCTTCTTTTTCAAAATAATCTTTAATTATATGTTCCCACATCTAGAATTTTTATTAAAAACTGTCCATCTTCGAGCCGGAAGTTTAGTTTGATGCGTAAAAACCTACCTACTAAAGTGAAAATTCAAGTATATTATAAAACTTAACGAGTTGATTTGACGAAATGGTATTAAGAAGGACTAACATTAGGTGGACAAAAAAAAAAAAACCATGCCCCTGCCATTTCATGAAGGGGTTTTATAACAATGATCTGACAGGAATACAAAATGTGTTAATTCAAAATCGCACCAGCTTCCGGTGCCAAAACAGTGCGCTATATTCACATAGTGAGCCTACTGGATTATATACATGTCCTTGTTTCACTTCAATAGACCATTTATAAACCACTCTTTTACTTGACAGTTATTGACATTTTTTAACCTAATCATTGAGAAAATCATATGTTTCAAAGCATGGAACCAATAATGAATAGAAAATTTGATACACACCAAAAGAGAGAGAGAAAGAGAGAGAGAGAGACGTATAGCATTAAAATTGCTCAAAATATTTTTCAGACATTGATTGCAATTGCAAACGATTTGACTATTAAAGCTACTGTGCCAAGAAGAAGGGCAGCTAACTAAACAAGCAACTGCAGAATGCCTCAATACCCGTATAATATTAAAGTGACTAAGATTGTATCAGTCAATTAGCATTCTTATATTTTTATAAAATGGAATTGAAACTTGGTCTTAAAGCTGTATGAACTTTTTGATGGATACTATTTAGAGATTGGAAGAATCCAACTTCTTCCCATTAAATGTCGCTTCTGTGGTTCCGGTAAAGTAATTCCTTGGGATTGCAATCATATTTCCTTCTGCAACTGAAATAAATAAAATTTATTTAAAAAAAAAATAAATACTAGGAGAGGATATTTGTGGCTTATTATGATATATCCACCGTTACTGAATACATACGCAATTTATGAGTAGCTTCGTCGTTAGATATTGCTCCTCTATATGGAGAGAATAGGAATTTGTACAACAGGCTAGCTATGCAACCTCCAAGTATTGGTCCTACCCAGTACACCTAAAACAAACAATAAATCCATCTTCTATAGAACTGAAGTTCCTATACACCAATATTTCTTTTAGCATGATTAATAGTTTGAGTCTGGTGTTTCATGAGGAGCAGCATCTTTTAAGCAAACAGAAATTTTATACACCCATATAAGCAGAATTCATGTTTTGAATCTATATGTACATGTATTGTACCATGAAGATCAGTACAAATCATGAAGAGATCGTTATCTATTTATTTTTTTAATATTACTCATTTTTCATAATGCTGTTTTTCACTTTCTTATTATTATATTTTTGTCTCCTGCTTTCGCGAAAGCATGGGGACATTTAAGGACAGACGATACGTTCCTCAATAATATATAATTTTTTTCTAAGATTTTGTCATTGAAGTATTGCTACTTTGACATGTTTACTCGCAAAAAATTGGGGTACTTTACCAAGCATTTGTGGAAGATACCAGAGGATGATGTTTCCTATATAATCCTTTTGGAAAAAAATTAATTTGCCTATATAATATTTTTTAGTGTTTCATATTTAAAGACAATTAGAAACCAATTTAGAAATCAGAAGGTAATTAAAATTCTGAATATTTTTAAATAAAATACGAAGATATACAAAACAGATATTTGATGAACGTATCATCTGACCTTAATATTGATCATTCGTCCGTCCCTGTTTGTCTTAAAAACTATAACCTTGGCCATAACTTGAATGAGAGAAGATAGAGCTTTCAAATTCACAATGTGCATTACTTCTGAAAAAAACTTTTCATTTTCCAAAAATTATTTTTTTTCCTCTGAATTTGACTTCAAGGTTTGACCTACGTTTTAAAAATTTTAACCTTGGTTGTAGCTTTTGCATCTGAAAAGACAGAACTTTTATATTTTACATACGCATTACTTAAGGTAAGATCTTTCCGGGTGAATTCTTTTCAGAAATTTAAACCTTAGCCGCGTACATGTAGCTTTGCACCTGGAGAGACAGAGCTTTCATATTTCCCATGTGCTTAAGATGTCCATCACCATTGACGAGGCATTCCGAATGTATTATCATTGTTGTTGACCTATAATTACCATTTTGCATCAGATAGGTGTTCATATGGTTTTCTCGTGTACATTACCTGTGACACGTTCATTTCAAATGTACTATGACACTTAGACCCCAAAATTTGACTTTCTTAATCATGACCGTAACTTTTGCATATAACTTCACTTAGTAAGATGAACAGACAAGAGTCACGTGATAAGACAGTAATAAGTAACAAAATGCCATAGATCATTGCACCCGGGGGGGGGGGGGGGGGGGGGTTGCTTGTTTGATATTAAGCAGGACAATGTGCATTAACTTGCTATAATGATTTTAATTTTAAAGAAGCTGTGTCTAAGGCACCATTTAATCAATTACCAAAAATAAATAAATTAATTCGATTTAAATTTACTTTGATTACAAGTAAAAACATTCTGTGGTTTAAAATCAAGTGTAACTATAAAGGCGCATGTCCTACAAAGTGTCAAGAACAGAAGTAATTCTTACAGACTGTGTACAAACACTTTACCCAGTGTGTGTCGTAGTCGTTGGAGGCTACAGCACTCCCTAGGGATCGGGCAGGGTTCATACTGGACCCCGTCAAGGTGATCTGTAAAAAGAAAATCCATGAAATCTAGAATGTTTATCGAGCCAGTCCTACAAGTTTAACAGTGATGACACTTACATGTATATATCACATAATTCGACACTGTCTTTTACTAAGAAAATAGTATCTCGACATTGTTCATTAAAGGAAGGAAAATAAGTTAAAGAAGTAAACATATTTACAGAAGATAAATATAAATTGCATTGTTTCGTGATCAGGAACAAGTTCTGGTTTTGAAAAAAGGAGTCAATACCTTTTTCACATTAGTGTAGCTTTTTCTTTTTTTAAGAACTACATAATACGCAATTAGATTGTTGCCAGATAGGAAATCAGGCCTATTGTCCAGATCTGTTATAACCACTGATTCAGCATGTAAGAAGGGGACCAATGTTCTCTATATTCATCATTATCAACAGCAATTACAGGATATAGAAATACTCCAGCTCTTGATTAATGATTCAAATAGGCGTGCTCGCATTATCTGCGACACGTGTCTGTGAATTTTATATACATCAGATTAGTTTGTAATTTAGTGTCCAAGTAATAAGCACGACGGAATGGAGAACCTAAGATAAATATCGAAGCTTTATTTTATTTTATTTAATTTTAGGAAAACATACTCATGTCTTGTATAATTCTATTTCATGATAAAATTAACTATTGTTAATTAATCATGAAACCATTTCTTTATTTTTTTGTTTTTCCCTTCAGTGATGCTAGAAAATAAAACACAAACATTCTGCATAAATTAAAAGTATTAATGATCTTCTTCTTGGAGTACTGATATTCTTCAAGGAGAGAGAATACTGAACTCACATATATGAATATGCAGAGATCTTTGTTCTAAATAAAAATGAACAAAGTTATATGAAAGTAACAGGAAATGTTGGAAGCTCAGTAATGATCCAGTAGTAAAATTCTTAATATTCAATATTTACATTTCCAAATATGTTTACTCAAGATTCTTTGCAAATAAGAAAAAGTTCATCTTCTCATGAACTACCGTGGTATGAGTAAGAAGATTTCCATTGTGATGTGATTGACAATAAAATGTACTCATGCATCTGAATGAACGAACGAACGAATGAATGAACGCTAGTCAACGCGCTGCAGGAAATATGCAGGCGTAAAGCGTCGTAGTTCATGTCCTCATGAATTATCAAATATTAAATTTATCTCTTAACTATCCTTTAACAAAAGAGGTCAATTGACCTTCATAGCCACCTGAGTATCATGTATTAATTTAGAAAAACAACAACAACAACAAAACTTCAAAAATTCCTCACACACAAGCCTCCTGTTATGATTTTTTATGACTTAGTATAGTTACAAGCATTAAAAAATTTAATTTTTTCCCCTTTCAGTCACCAGGAGTTTCGAAAAAATTCATCATTCAGATGCTTTACCATAAGTACTTTTTATTGTCAAGTTTCATCTTTTTTAATGTTTCTTCTTTACCAAGTTACGACCCGAGAAGACTTTTCAGAACTGAATTTCATCTCACCAAATGACCTTGGGTCTTCAAAGGCAACCTTCGTCTTAAGCTTGAACACCTATTGTTTCTCCATATCGGTATTACGACCCAGTAAAAGTTTATGACAAACGGACAGACACATTTCTAGTGATTTATCTAGGAAAATGACATTTACGGATATGTATGGTGTTCCGTTGGGGCCACTCGCACTTTCGCACTCTCACCTTTAGGGCGAAGATGTGAAGGCGAAGGAGCGAAAGTCCGAAGGTGCGACTGCGAAGGAGCGATAATAGTATCGTTCCTTCGCCTTCGCACCTTCGCTTTTTTGTGGAGCTCTCTATTGTTTTAAGTTTACTTAAATCATTCCAATTGTGATTGAGTTAACCCCGTCCCTAGACCTTTATTACATAGAGACTTTATTACATAAATAATACTTGCTGCTCATTGCCATCATGTGCCTTCGAAATGCACAAAGAAGTCAATTTTTAAAGAAATCAATGCATTCAATTTTGGACTTAGTTTTAAACCTACCCAGCAAGCCTCAGGTAACAGAATCAACTCTTTAAAAAGTTCCCTTTCGTTAAAAATGTTAAGTACCAACTTCAATTAGTATACATTCACCAGTTTTGAGAAGGGGTTGACAATGATAAGTGGTACACGACGAAAAGAGACATATATCCTGATTAAACCATTTCCTTTATCGATCTATGGGGAAAAAATGTTTCAAGACACTTGAAAATATAATTAGTCCTAAATAATCTAAATGGTTGAATGTCATGATTATTAAAGATGCACATGTCAAGGTACATGTATGTACATGTATACTTACAGAAGAAAAATGCAGCATTGCTACTGTAAGCCCAATTTTCAGAGAAACACTACCAAAATCTGTCCTGTTTCCGTCTGTTGTCGCAACAATGACAAAGACAAGACAAAAGGTTAAAATCAGCTCAATGGCTACTCCTTGTAAAAGAGTGTAGCTATCGGAGACTTTGGTCACTCCCAGATTGGCATGAAAATCACCCGGTGTCACTCTGAAATTAAATTTTCTTCGAGTGATTCACTCTGAAATATATTTCTCTTTTAGTCATATACCAATTACATTGCATTACAAAAATCTTATTTTTGAAGATGCACGTGCATATGTTTGTTGATTAAGGCCGATGAAATCACATTTTCGGTGTATATGTATCATCTAATCCAAACAGAATAATCATGATTTTAATACATTATAATCCGTTACCCTTTCAGAATCATGCCTCCCACAATGGCGCCTATGGTCTGAGCAACTGTGTAAAGCAAAGCGCGAAAAATAGTGATCTGAAAACTCGCCAAAAGTCCCAAAGAAACCGCAGGATTGAAATGTCCTCCGGAAATGTGACCAAACATCTGAATAAGGGCCATAATAGCCAGTCCAAATGCAAGCGCTATCTGTAATAAAAACAAAATATTTGTTCAATATGAGGAGGTCTATCATTTGTAGCTAACTGTAGGATAAATCTTGATAAAACATAAGTTATGTTTGAGGCAACATTGAAAGTTTTCATTTACAGTAATTTTTAAGGAAGAAAATGTATCTCAGGTGCTTCTTGTGGCCCTCGGGCCTCTTATATAATTTTAACACACTGCTATATAACATCAAGTTTGTGGGTATAACCTAGCCGTACTAACATAACAAATTAACACCAGGACTGATGGAATAACAATGGGCTGTTTTGTTAACATTCCATTCACCGTGCTTTCAAACAGAAAAAAAAAATACATTCTTGTTTATCCAAACATTGAAATCATTGTCATTTAAATGTTGAAAGGTTGGTAACTAACCTGAATATTTTGACAAACTAGAGGAAACTCGGTAGACCTTTATTTCGTGGTAAAGAGCGTTAAATTACGTATTAACTACTATGTATGCTTGTTCCTATAATGAAGTGAGGATAATTTGTCTTCTGTCTACAGGATTAGTGGAACAACGTACTTTGTGAATGTTGACCACGACAATCTATTTTATACATGATTTTCTCAAAAAATGCGGTATAGGATAAAGCGGCAATAATTGTATAGTCAGAAAAAGTTTTAAAGTCTTAATTATCTTTATTGAATGCATAACTGCACAATATCAGTGTAAGACATCCTACCTGTAGAAGATAACATTTTTAATTTATTGTCATTAAAGAAGAGAAAAGTGGAATGTACTTATCGTTATTTTTAGAGTGAAATGTGTTCAGGTACCATGATACTACACCATAAATCGTCTGTATGCAACAACTAAAATATCTTAGATCCACATAATAAATAAATATACAGGGGTTAGGGTGTTGGGGACTGGGTATTGGTAACCAATTTGTCCTAAAAACTTTTCAACTCTCACGCGTTTTTCTTGTGAAAACGTGAAACTCTGAATGAAATTTCTTGTTATCTTAATATGCATATTGCTTAATATACAAGATTACCAAAGAAAAAAAATATTTGGCCTTAAATTATAGATTACAATGAAAAAATGCACATGCATTTTAATCATAATTTTAAAACCAATCTAAATGAAATACGCATGTATGGTGAATATTTTAAATTATGATATATTTGCTAGGAAAGAAATTTAATATTTTATTCATTTAAAAAAGAATCTTTACTATTAAAACTTTATATGAGAGAGGAGAGAGAGATTTCCCTATACATGTACTTACTCTGACAGGGTTAATGGGGTTAGTTAATGTGGAAGCGCATCCTAGGAAGACAAACAACATAGTCCCCACGAACTCCGCCAACACGGCCCTCCAAAACTTCCAAGTTTTCAGTTCACGGATGGAATAAACCTTTTCCTCCAAATCCTTTCCAAATCTGGCTTCAGCTACTGCTTGTGAAACGTGCATAAAATACCCCTCCATTTTTCACTTTCACAATCTTGAGCTTCTGCAAAAAATTATGACTCCAAATAATTTTCAGGAGAGGGGAAAAACACCGACGATTAAAACAAGTCAAACTCCAGTTTCCACTTTTAAAAATTCTTACGTACTTTATTATATAGGTATTACAGTGATGTAAAATGATGATAACTGGTGCTGTTTTATAGCATAAATAAATCCTGCTTCGATAGGTGATTACGTATTTGGTATGTGATAATACAGCTATTTTAACATGCTGTACTGCCAAAAGAGGCGTTACCCAACATACTCTCATGTTTATGCAAAATAAAATTAATAAACTGCTATTTGACAATAAATTTTTCGTTTAAGAACTGTACAGTATTTTTCTAGTATAGATGCACTGTGTAAATATAGGACAGTTTTTGGTACTTGTGGAAGAAACAAAGGTGAAGAAAAACAAACATTGCATTCCCAATAAGAGAAACTAGCGTTGCATGGTAGTGCAACATTATAATCTAGTTGTAACCTCCACTCTCTTAGAGTGAGAGAGAGAGAGATTTTGAATCATAACAACAAAACGCGCTTAATTTCTTGGCAAGATATGGAGATGCACATGTTGAGGGTCTATTATTTATTGATAGTATTTTATCATATATATATATATATATATATATATATATATATATATATATATATATATATATATATATATATATATATATATATATATATATATACTTGTATGCCGAATTTTATTACAATATGTCTGACATGAACATGGGTTTTCAATACTACCCAAAAGTATGTTTAAAAAATTCCCCTTTCCTGGCTTTACTGCAGTTCAACTGTGTATCAATTTCATTAAGTTTTTTGTAAGTCCTAAAAAGGGGTAGTTTTGCATGAACTTAGCGGGCAAATGGTAGAAATATCATATTATCCTATCGCCTATATATATACTACAAAAAATTGAAAATAAATAAATAAAATTGTACTTATGCCTTTGCGGATATTATAGATTGATAGATAAGAATTTGGTTGCAGCGCCCAATAAATCCTGTTTATCATGAACACGATTTAGCCTTCCTGTAATTAGATCACGCCCCATACTTCCTTTTTATGATTTTATTCTCTTTAATGACTGTTTAGAGTTATGTATTCCAAACGCTCAAAAACTTGTGTGTTTTCCAAGTTTCAGTTGAACTATTTTTTGTATAAAATCAAAACTAGATCCGGTATGAGGTTCCTCATTTTAGAACTAACAAGATAAAATTGGTAATTTCTGTTTCAAATTAAAATAAAACGAATGATAATTCCCAGAAAAAATATGGAATACGGATAAGTATCTCTATAATATTGTATAAGAGCTAAATTACTATATAGTAAGATATCTTTTAAAGTAAATTAAAAGTGAAAGAAATTATTTTTTGAATGCCGTTCGCCAAAAGTACATGTACTTGCATGACCGATTCTCATATGAAAACTTTTATTTTCAACAAAAGAAAAAAAACCTTAGTAAGATCCCAGCTTACCACATCTAATTGTGAGGACGAGAGCACTAATAGGTTAGCGGCTTCACCTAAGTTTAAGTATGATAAAAGATGTATCAAAATGTATTTCGACAAATAGTAGAGCAATGCTCTAAAACACAGGCACTTATTTCTGTAATTTATTTTTTTTAACCCACAGTGTAATAATAACACCCTGAACCCCCCCCCCCCCCGATAACTTTGACATATCCTGTGTAGGATTTGATGGCAATAAATACGTATATTTGGCCAAACACACAAATTTGTTGAAGTTTTTATCATTCTCCAGTTGCTACAGAAGCAAATCCTTGGGTAGCTGCCCGGCAATCCCACACCAGACCCCGAAAAATACTAATCTAAATTACTCATACACTTCCCCAAAATTCTTATCTTCAGAGTTTGAATCAAAATTATTATTTTTTCTTTATATGTGGAAGACGCTCATGTACGGCTTACTGAATTCTGAATGAACACAAAGTAAGCCAATATACGAAATATATATTTTTTTCAAATCTGATTCAGCAGTGTCTGAAACATTATCTATTAGCTTTCAAAGTTTCTCAGCGTGACTTTTAATTTTTAAAATTACCTCTGACTTATATTGTTGAGAATAGAGCTGCATATTACCATTTACTTTTATTTTAATATTCTCCGAGGAATTCTACAGAAACCATGTATAGTCTCTTTTAAGTATCTTTTAAGACATAATATTTTATAGTGTACATTGTATAATTGTTTCAGAGTCGATGCGCATTTACAATGTAGCTTCTCTCCATCTGGAAACAAAACTCTCATAACTTGTTTTCGAAACTCTTTGGAGCCCCACTTCCTGCCAGGGCAATTAACCACAGTGTAATTGTCCAGTTTTAAATTGTCATTAGCTTTGCTTCCTCTTTATAATAACGTACTTAGTCAGAACAAAGAGTATACAAGTATATAGATGGAAATATTTTTATTTGTTTTTTTTTTATATATTAATTTGATAATTTGGATAGGGGATGTGTCAATGTTAAATATTTTTAATGATATAAATGTACTTTCAAATACATTATTTCACATGTCAATTATTTTGTAAAGTACGTATGCGCTTTTACCATTCATTTTCTTCAGCCATAAAATTAAAATGTCTTTATCTACCTGATAGAATTTAAAAGGATGAACATGTATATCTGGTATGGCATCGGTTTAAAAGAGAAGTGTTCACACATTTTCTAGCACAGATACCTGTATGATGTACTCGATTCTCTTCCCAGAGTACACACCTTGTCATCGCTTACGGCTATTTGCAGATGGTAAGCGATAAAAAAAAATACTTGTGTTAGGGTGCAAATTGAATGTGCCACTTTATTTCTGTGTAAAAATTTGGTTGTTTTTAACTTGTGCAAACAAGTACTTGACATATCGGTAAATTAGGGCACCATTAACGTACGAGCATAACATTTTACCGGTAATATTTTTCGATTAACCTTGAGGATTTACTTGAAGCTAACTCTTTGAAATAGGGTGGTTATAGAGTCTTGTTCACTCATTCCCCTCCCTCTTTTTTAAGGGAACTTTGTATGTAATATTAGTTGTCGGCTAATTTTTGGCAATGCATGCTAAAAATTTAAGCTTTAATTTTATGGTTCAAAATAGGATGAGAAAAAGTCATATTTTGTAATTAGATCAGAGGTCAAATTTTGGTCACAGATATTCATGTCTAAAGTAGCTCAAAGGTGAAGTTCGAGGTCAGAAAGTAACCCTGACATTGTGTGAAAGTTCGTGTGTTTCGTGTGATTTGTTATACATGCATGCTAATATCAAGTCACCTTGCATGGATCAAACGTTATATTTAGAGAGAAACAATATAACAGTAAGACCGTAAATCTGATTCGTCCGTTGGAAATCATCATTTGACAGCTGAAACAGGTTTAATTATTACATCAAAGTAGCATAGTGATTTTTTTTTAATAATACCTAGCTAAATTTTAGCTGAATTACAAAGTAAAAAAAAGCAAAAAAAAAAAATAAATAAATAAATAAATAAAACAAAAAACAAAACAAAAAAAATGTCAAAAAAAACAAAACAAAACAAAACCAAAAAAAAAAAAAAAAAAAAAAAAAAAAACAAAAAAAACAAAAAAAACAAATAAAAACAAAATAACAAGTAAAGGAAAAAAGACACACCCCTAAAAAAACCCAACAAAACAACAAAAACATCAAAGCATGATTCGACCCACTTTATCAAAAAATGTAGTTTAACATAATATTTTTAAGTCTTAATTTAGCTTGTTGTCATTTTGGTGTGTTAATCATAATCTATTTCGCAATCAATGTATTAAAGTATTGTGAATATGGTATGCATATGATTACACATCTATATATTTTAATCATTTTTTTTAAAAGTGGAAATTCTGAGAAATATATTTATTGATTTTTTTATTGTATTGACCATAGAATTTGCGAAATGTTGACTTTAAACGGGGCTGATGATATCCTTGTATATCAACTTATTTGTCAATAGCTTGCCTTGTTTTAGATATTATTCGTACGTAGAGCACGCTCTTGCGTATCGAATCAACCAGGAGACATAAACTCCGTATATAGGTGAAAATGGTAAATTGCAATATAAATAATCGAAGTTGACGATAAAAAAGTTGAAGTCATCACGTTTATCATAAAGTTTGGTTGTTAGACTACCGTGTAAGACGGATAGCTATCAATGTATTCTGGGCATATTTGATCTATGAAGAAATCAGCGCGGATTTTGAAGGATTTAGTGTTGAAGAACTCAATCGTCTGCTTGGCAAGTTTTATGTAGAACTTTGCAACAACATAGTACATGTACGGAATATTTTTAATAAATTCTCAAACATTTAAATTCATTTATTGTTTGCTGTGTATAATATTTCTCTCTCTTTTTTCCTTTTTAGACCTTAAAAGTGATTATATAATATGATATGATAAATATGGACTCAATGTAAGGTCAAATATAATGACCCAGAGTGACTAACATTAACCTTGGAAACAGGGAGAGGAGGTGGGGGGTCAGCTACTTGTTCTAATAATAAGACCATGTTCATTTCTTTACTAACACTGAATTACCGAATAGTATCACTGGAATTTATGTTATAAGATAAAAGACTGTCATAGTAGTAAATAAAGTATGGACCCCAGGGAAATTATCTGAAATTTCTACATAACTGAACAACTAGCAAAATGTTTAAAATATATTTTTGTCAATATCACATGCTTTATGCATGAAGACTGAAAAAAATTCAAGTACGTGTACTACTTAATTACTATCTTGTTAAGATTTTTTTTTATCTCCGTGTTTTAAAAGCAGATTATAAAGGGGTATACATTGTACATGTACCTCGAGCAGGATACTACCACGTTAATCCCTGAGGTCTGTTACCGACATAATAAATGTTATAAAAATCCATTTCTTTCAGACTCAGAAACAATTTAGAGGCTCATAACCCTTTTTAAAGAAAAGGGAATACATTTTATTTAAAATATGGCAATTATAGCGTAAGAT